GTTTCAATTCCTACTTATGATGATTAATGATAATATTGACAATATTAATGATAATGTTGATATAATGATACTGATAATCATGAAGTATTACAAAATGTTCACATATAAGTTCTACAGAAATGCATAATCGAAATAAAATAATTCAATTAAAAAAAATACATATACTAATAATAAACAATAAAGAAATATCATATTTAGAGTAAGTTTTGGAAAATACTATTTCGCCTAATTTTACCTTTAGGACACGCCACTGGCATTAATTACGAAGGCCCGAGGAGAGGATGAAAGTATCATATATTTTTTTAAATATGTATATTTTTTGTCGTGATTTTCGTTTAAGGTTTGTTGATTCATTTGCTTTTTGCCTCCGTAAAAAAAAAGAAACTAAAAATGGTAACAGATTTTACCTTATCACTACGAACCAAAAGACAAAGCTATTATCCTATTATGCTGTGAATTAGTATTCCAAGTACAACAAAAATAAAATTAAAAATGATGCTGATAATGAGGACACTACCTACCCTTTGGCTAAGCGATATTGGATATATTAGCAAGGGCAGACTGGGCCATCTGGAGCTAATGGAGAGTTCCCAGACCGCCAGTCAATCAGTGGACGGGAAACAATGCAATTACCCAGGAGCCAAAGAGCCCATGCGCTCAGAGTACCCGTCCTCTCCTCGCCGCGCCCGCCTCTAGCACTCACACTCACGCGTTACATATACGTGCGTGTGCTTCTGTCCTATCTGCAAATAGGGAAAGCTGGGCTGGCGACCTTTACATAACGAATAAGAATAAAAGTGTAATATTTTTCGAAGTTGATCAAATTCCTCGTTTATGGCGGCTCTTTTAAATTGCCGGGTTAAATAAGTGCTTAAAGGAGAGTTCCGCGAAATGCTGACCTGTGGAAAAATTAGGTAAACTGACTTATGGCTACTTAAGGCCACTTAGGCTCGGTACGTCCCTGGAAGTTATCAAAGCGCCCCTTTAAAGTGTGTCTCCTGACGATGGACTGAATGCTTGGCTAAAGCACTTACACCTACATATTGCTGGAGCCATTTCCTCCTGTTGCGCCTGTCTCTCCCCTTTCCTTTTCGTTTTTTATCTCTCCCTTTTCTTTTAATGGAGAAATGCTCAGGTTAACTTCATACTCAACAGCGCACTTTCGCTGGTTTTTCACAGTATGTCTGTCACTTTTCATCAGTGGTCAGTGAGACCACTGATGACACATATATATATGTATGCGTGTGTGTGTGTGTGTGTGTGTGTGTGTGTGTGTGTGTGTGTGTGTGTGTGTGTGTGTGTGTGTGTGTGTGTGTGTGTGTGTTTACAGTATATGTGAATGTGTGTGTTTGTGTAAATTTATACATACACATATAAATTTATGTACGGACACACACATTATATATATATATATATATATATATATATATATATATATATATATAATATATATATATATATATATACATGTATATACATACATATATAATTGTATAAAATATATATAGAGATATACAGATATTTATATTTACAAATACATTATATAATTATATATATATATATATATATATATATATATATATATATATATATATATATATATATATATATACATGTATTTATTTATATTAATATACACTTCATCCCTTCCTCCGTCTCTCTCCATCCGGAATGTTACACAAATACCGACCATGTAGCTCTTCCCCGAACATCAGTCGTTTTTACAGTATACATAAAAAATATCTAGCCTACCATGAATCGTCATTGCACATTAATTCGTAGAAGCTTGTGGAGGCTGCAGTTTTTATAGCTAAAGAGCCTACGATTCACGTTCTTAATATTTCTCCCCTAAGATCTTAGATTCCAATTCTTAATGTGAAATATGAAGCATCAAAATATAGAAAAAAATGTGTAAGACGCAGAAAGATTGTTACATTTTTGGTTAGTAATTTCCAGTAAATTGCCGAATTATTTCTTCAAATATCGAATATAAACGCATAGGGTAGCTGCTCAAAACTGAAAAAAAAAAAAAAGTTCCTTGGAAAATGCCATGATATTCACGAAATGGTTAAACATTACGAATCTCTCTCTCTCTCTCTCTCTCTCTCTCTCTCTCTCTCTCTCTCTATATATATATATATATATATATATATATATATATATATATATATACAGAGAGAGAGAGAGAGAGAGAGAGAGAGAGAGAGAGAGAGAGATACATAGATAGATAGATATGTATATATACATATATATTTTGTGTGTGTGTGTGTATGTGTGTGTGTGTGTGTGTGTGTGTGTGTGTGTGTGTGTGTGTGACAGGAGACCGAACACACACCAGATGGATTTCCTTCAATCCTAGGGACACAAGTCCTCCTGGTCCCCTGCACTTACAATGACACTGTACTTATGTGTCCTATTTGTACATCTCAAGATAACCTTTTTCCTGACAAGAGGGCACCATTTTCAAGAACACAGGTTATAAATTCCTACCTTCGACATCACCGGTTTCTTTTCTAAAGATAGAAATATTACACAAGTAAAAAAAAAGCTTGCCGATGTTCCTGCTCTTACCCGGGTAGTATTTTTGACATTCAAAGAGAGAGAGAGAGAGAGAGAGAGAGAGAGAGAGAGAGAG